CCCTTTCCCATCAGCAAAATTCTGGGCGGGATTTGGCCCCGCATATCACGGTAGCCCGGGGGTATGCGCGCCACCCAAGGTCACTACCGTAGCACCCAATCAGGAGAGATGGATTACGATAACAGATCCCAAGGACGGGCTGATACACTAGCTTTTCTACTCTTTAGACTTCCAATATAAAAGAGGTACATCCTCGGCTTTTGGGGGTACCTTAGGCCCAGACCTAGCTACAGTAGTCCAATCGATACCGCGCGTGTAGAAACATCTGCCTCCCTTGCAGCCGTGTGGCGTGGGTATTTTTGCAAAAAAAATATGATTTTTGGCGAATGGCCTAGCAGGTGTTTTTAAAGAGGTCTGCCATGCAATAGGTTAAAAAGAAGTTGCCTCCGGCCATGGGAATTCGATACCTAGATATCGATCTTCAGGGTTAGTTATCATAACTATTAGCATATCCTACAGCTGCAAAAAAGGTAAGGTTTTTTCTTGACTTACATGTCGTACGCCGTAGTCTTCCACCTAGTAGAATTCAAGCGAAAAGTTATATGAACTTCTCGCTCATTTTGACGCCCTGTCCAAACTGGAAACCCTTGCAAAGTTCTGGGTCTAAATTTTGAATCACATTTTGAACCACTACGGTATGTCGCGAATCAGCATATTTAATCGGCTTTAAAAACAGCTTAGAACTCCCGATATAACCCCTAGGGACAAAATGACACGTTACAGAGGCCATGACGATGAAATGATGAGTGTGCTGTACAGGTCGTGTCCTTCATTGGATCAAAACCCACTGCAAAACCAGATCCTGATCCCGAGGCCTTTCCAGCACCTGAAGACCACTTTTTATATACCTTGACCCTAATTCGGAACATGCTTTCGGCAACAGGCTTGACAAATTGCCTGCTAGACCGCAGACTAAACGAGGGAGCTTTCGACGCTCAAGATTATACCGAAAATTGGTTGTTTTTCGTAAACCCTAGGTATGAGGCGTTTCGCCGGTTTTAGGTAGCGTTTCCCTTGTTTCTGCGACGTCAAAAACTGATTAAGATTTGAACAATGTCTCTCAGTTGTCCCAGTCGTTTCATTAGCCATAGGTCGACCTACCGCCGCCTTGGGGGCCCTGTAACGTGCCCTATCCGTCATGACAAGGGTGACAATCGGGCCCTAGGGCTAGTTTTAGTGTTATCCCTTTACGTGTTATCTCTTGTTGATTGCCATCTTCTCAAAAATGGCGTAGTGGGTCAGATGACAATAACGCGAAAATCGGCAACATCTTCAAGCAGTTCAGCCTGCCGTTTTCTTGGTCGTACCAACCCATGTTTTGCTCAGTAGCAGCTGCGCTATTAGCGCCATTCTGTCAATTTTGAGTGTTGTGCTTTCTCTCAAAAACATTTCAATCAACAAGCTCGGCTTCGTACGTTGTTCTGGGCCATTTCCAGACGTGAGCAGATCAATTTTCTCTACGTTTCCATTTCAACGGAAAACAGCATCGATTTTCCAAAAAAAAAATCCACTTCCACTTTCGCAGATTCTTCCTTGAAATTCCCTAACTGCAAAATTTTGCAAACGCTTCGATTTTTCACACGGTCCCTGACCGGAACAATTTTGCAAGTAGGGACGTTCCTTCCATTCCTTCCATCAAATTACCCGGGGCGGAGTCCAAGTTGCACTCTTGAGGAATGACTGTTTTTTTGCTGATTTCTTCGTGCTATCCCAGATTACGAATCTTTCAGCGATGATTGATTTTAGGGTTTTGCCTTGACATATTGAGGAGAGCACAGTGTTCAGGGTTACGAAAAACTGTACTGTTTTTGATGACGAACAGGGTGGTTTGATCCCAATTGTGCCCCGATCATAACACGTCAAAATCGTAACCGGAAATATAAAAAATAAGTGGGTAAAATATAAAATCCAGGTCACCGCAAAGCGTTTTAAAAGCCGGTCAAGCTAAAGATTTCGAAAAATTTCGTTTTGAAAGCCAAACCTCATTTCGAAAAATATGAGAAAAATATGTGGCGTTGATTTACAACATTCTAGGCTTACGCCATTCACTCTTTCAAATAGACACATTTTAGCTTACCGTTGACAAGATGAGCTAATCTGCGACCCGGGTTACGGTAGTAAGTTAGCCTGCTTTTTCATAGCAACCTGTTAGCTGACAAGGAGTCGCTTTTAGGTGCTTTTGGAGTTTCTGGACGGGACCTAGCTAGTTCCATAGAGAAAAAAATTCTGAGCAACATCCCGTCTTTAAAAAAGTGCTGATCGATAAAGGAATTTTAGAAAATTTAATTTAAAGTTCGCGTTTTTTTTCTGGTTTTTGGGTCCATTTCCTCGGTTCACGTCGTTTTCGGGGCTGGGCAGGGCGCCATTCGTAACCCTCCGCCAATGCCTCCATCACAGGTTGCATTGGCGTATTGGTAGCGCCCTTGCCCACCAACTTTTAACATTTTTTTTTGCCTCGGGTTCGGATTTTCGCGCTGGCTAACCCTTTGCTTTTTGGTTCTTGAGCCCGTTATCGGTGCATAAAATTTTAATTAGCAAAAAAGTAAGGAGTTAACGATAAATAAGAATCGAACTTGTGGCAAAAGGTCAAAAAAAACTTCGTAGGCCAGCGCACTAGCCACTTAGCCATGCCTAGGACGGGATCCAGAGCGGATGAAGTCCCGATGTGGCAGGGGCGATCGACCGCCGCAAATCACCTCAAATCACCACAAGGGTCCGGACACCGGGAACATTTTTAATTAAATTCAATTTTCTAAAACAGCTTTATCGATCAGCACTTTTTGAAAACGGGATGTTGCTCAGAATTTTTTTCTCTATCGAACTAGCTAGGTCCCGTCCCGAAACTCCAAAAGCACCTAAAAGCGACTCCTTGTGAGAAAATCGTGGAATTAGGGCTTCGTGAAAAACGATGGATTTGTTACGATACGAATCGTACTGGATCTCGTTCTCTCACTCCCTCTCTCTCACACCCTCTCTCCCTCCCTCCCTCTCTATGTCTCTCTTGCTCTCTCATTGTATCGCTCTTTCTCTCTCCCTCTCTCACTCTCTCTTTCTCTCTCTTTCTCTCTTTCTCTCTGTTTCTATAGCTCTCTCGCTCTCTTTCTTTCTCTCCCCCTTCTCTCCCGCTTCTCTCACATATCCTGCAAAATTCTGCAAAACCACTTCCCCCTCATCTACCTCATCCACCGTAATCCCGGCACCATAAGCCATCTGTTTGCGCGCGTATTGACTAGCAACCCGGTCCCGCGCGCCCCGGATGGGCTCATTAATAAGCTGAAAAGCGCATAATAGGGAAAATTTTTACTGAACGCTCCCATTAATTTTGATGGTGATTTATGCAGTGTCGGGGGTAAAAATTCGCCTCAATGTTGTTGTTGGGCTCCATGACCACCCGAGAATCGGGCATAATGGGCAGATTGACAGCCGGGATGGGCCGGTTTACGAGGCCGGAGGGCTGTTCAGAACCATGGAGACGTGACGATGATGAGGGGCACCTGGGCTTGGGCATGTCGATGGATGGAAATTGTGGAAAATTAAATTCGGGGGTCGGCTGGCGGGAAAATGGAGAATTTGGAGATTTTTGAAGCGGATTTTCGTATTCAGAAAGTTCTGGAAGTGTGAAGTTTAAGCCATGATATAAAACGGTTGAAAATGAGTTCCGGAGATTTATATCTTCGAAAATTGGCGTTTTTCGCTTTCAAAATTATGATTTTAAGCGGCCTGAACACAAGTAATCTAGACATCAGACTCAATATGGTATATAATACGGCATTTTTAAGGTAACCCATTCTGAAAATGGCATGAAAAACTACAGACTACAATAGATTGCGAAACATAAGTTACTGGTAACTAACGAAGAGCACATAAATAGCTTTCCAGACCTTTTGAACCTGAAAAAATACCTTGAAGGAGTCTACCGTACTCCTAAGGACTGTCCGTCCTACTGGATGAACCTCTCTATCTTCATCTATCTTACTTTTGTTCTCCAACCACTTCCCAAGGCCGATCGATCGATCGCGACCCCCCAGTCAGCCCGCCGCTCACCTACGCCGATCGAATGCCAGATTGCACAAAGAGGGAAGGCATTGAGGGGAAGACAGGCAGGATTGGGGGGACCGTTTCGACAAAAATTGTCTTGAGAGTGATTTCAGAAAGGGAACACAGAATATTGTTTTTAAAAAGCCTATGGGTCATCTGGGCGTACGGTAGCGTACAGTACAGCACGAGCGTACAGTAGGCCGCTTCTCCGAGTCCCAGGCTATGTGTAAACAGGCGTACTCGCTCTAGATTTTGTGTAGAAGGAAAACTTTTGATGCTTTTTTTGAAAAATAAAAATCGAGGCCCGCTCAAAGATCGCTTCAGTTTTAATATTCTGGAATCTTCGGAGCCTCTTCTTCGAAGGCTATAAATTAAATGGAGGAAATTCAGAGTCCTGCTCTGTCTCTCTTCTCTATCGCTCGTTTTCTCTGTTTCTCTCTCTCTCTCTCTCCCTCAGTCTGCCTGGCAGGGCCCTAAAATTTGGATTCCTATTTACAGGCTGAATCGAGCGATTCAAAAAAATCCAAAAAGCCCGACCGCAACCCTGAAAATACTTGCCAGCAGCCCAATCCACTAGTTCAAATCTACGTAGGAAAATCTGTACAAAAATGTCTACGATTTCGATGAAAAAGGATTGTAAAAATGCGTACGGAGGAGAAATCCGTCGTATAAACCGCTATAGGAAATTCCGATCGACTCCAAAGTTCAGGCCCTTCGGGAATCTGGTGAAGCGTATTTTCAGGTCCAGCTACCGTATGCCAGCCGAGTCAGCACTGCCTCGCCGATCCAAATCCCGGCGCTTTTTCTCGCCCACCTCCTCCCTCAAGGCTAGATGTAACAGATAACGCCGCCTCTGGAAAAACGGGCTCGGAGCCGATTCCTCGTGGGTGGCCGTCATCGGGTCTTGCCAAGGAATTCTCGCAAAAAAGTGGCCTGACAGCGCCAAAATTAGGGAGAAGAGGATGTCCGAAAAGGTCCGAAAAGCCCAGGAGGCGCCGGGCTACCGTAATCCACCAGCTCAAGCTTTTTTTGGTGGACCGAAATCGCCCGGGCGGCTGATAAGCGTGACGGCCGGCGGTAGGGCTGGTGGCTTGGGATTCTTGGCAAATTGACAGTGGGTGACGGTGGAGATTAATGAGGGTCATTAATATTGTTGATGTACCGTATCACTGGGGGGTGGGAAGATGCAGGAAATGAGCTCCGGGAAAATCCTGGATATCTTAACGTCCTGACAAATTCAGACCGGAAGCCGAAAGGTTAGTTTTACCAGGAGGAGAAAACGGGCCCGGAATCCTGATTTGTGGACGGCGGCTTCCTGACCACTAAAAAACGATAAAAAAAGCTATAAAAATAAGGGTGTAGCTGGATCTAAAGAAAAAATCAAGTTATTCGGCAGTTTCGATAAAATTTGTTTCAACCAAGGCTCGTCTAGAAAGAAAGCGACTGAAAAAGGAAAGAGAGGAACGTCGGCAAGAGGGATTGAGAGTGAGGGAGAGAGAAGGGGAGAGAGAGAGAGAGAGAGAGCGAGAGGGGGGGAGAGAGAGAGAGAGGAGGGAGGAGAGAGAGAGAGAGAGAGAGATTGATGGAGCGAGAAAGAGGGCGAGAGACAACGCGAGAGCGAGAGAGATCCAAACCGTCTATTGAATATTTTCATATATTTCATATATTGAATATAAATACTTTTGCGGTTTTCCAGTATCAAAGCAGTGCAAAGAAGATGCGACAGGAAATTTATAGCCCACGATACCTGTAGAGAGTGCGCAGAATTTAACCGAGATCCGCGAAGCATATGCATAGGAGTTGTTACGCTAATCAGTGAAATCTGACGGCCGGCGTAAAATAAGGAGTCAATAAATAAAAAGCAACTCCCATTTAAATATTAACAGGATTTCCGGTGTAAAGGTTTCTCAACGAAGGCTTGCTCAAATTCGTGGAGACTACCATCACCTTATATCACTTTTGGGAAAAGCATAGTCACCCAATAACTACTTGTTTTTGACACCCACGCTCACTTTCACATCACTCTCCGCCCTGCAATTGTCGTCAGTGTGGCCCATTTTGGGGCCCAAAATGTGGAGTGCGCAGGTGGAGGGCGCCCTGGCTGAGGTTGCGCCCCAGCCAGGTTCCCATGGCAACCCGGTGGAAAAGCCTGGGGGAAAGCGGTGAAAGGCCAATTTTACCTTTCTTGAGCGCTTCGACCGAAGGTTGTAGTGTTACCTGTTGTACTCAGTTTCATACTTTTAAGGATATCTTCCCTTTTTAAGCGAATTATCGATTTTGGCGGGTATTGAGGTAAGCGTGACGCGTTTCCGGCTCCAGTTAAGCTTCAGAGTTACGTTTAGGTCAGAAAGTATCTGCAAAGCGAAGAATATACATTGTTTTAGCATTTTCTCTTGTTTTTTTACATTTTGCCGTACATTTCCTGGCTAATAATGTCAGTTTAAACTTTTTAGATTACAAATTAAACTCTTTTTCTGGGGCTAAAGCGTTTTTTCATTATTTTAAATCTTTAAAGAGTGTTAAGAACCTATGATGGAATATTCCTGGCTTCGCAAAAGACTAAAATTTTTGTAAAAAGGTTAAATTGGAGGATTTCGAAATACCAGCTTCGCTTAAAAAAAAACGAGCCCAGCCGATAGCTTAAGTTTTCTAAGCCGAGGCCTAAGTCTAACTTTAAGTCAGTTTTCTAGCCGGTTCTCTGCAATTTTATGATTACTCCTGAACCCGACGTCTTCAAAATTAGCCCCAAAAGTTTCTTAGAACGGCAGGTGAAGTTTTCCAGAAGGCCCCAAAAAACCCCGCCCCCGGGCCCAAGTCACAGAATCGAAATCATACCATAACTTTTTGTATTTTTAATAGTTTCTGTCTTCTAGTCATCATCCCGATTTTTCTGTCTGGTTACGCAAATTCAGGGGTGATGGTTTGTCAGGGAAACAGAAGACCCACAAAAATCTTCGCCGGCGAGAGAAATCCCTATGGTTACCCCGGGTCGACACAAATCGCGTTTTCGCTGTTTTCTGGTTTGTTACCCCGGGGGGTGGTGGCAGATCTGTATTTAGCGAGTAATTGGTGGTGGTGAGGTGGAGCGTCTGGTTTATGCTAATTGCGGTAGAAATTTGTACATTTTAGTGCTTTGTACTTTTTGGAATCGATTCCGAAGGTCGTGAATTAGGATTTCAACGATTTTAGGCTTTGTCTAGCCTATTTTTTGCTTATTTTTTCATTTGTTGTTAAGTTTTTCACAAACTGCAGCAAACTATTATTATTTTAGCCCTAAACAGTTTGCAAAAAAAATAGAAAAATCTGAAAATAAAGCATTTTTCGATTTTGGTTCTGGTTTTGCCACTTTTCTTTTATCTATGTCCTTTTTTGTTGAGTCTTTATCTAATTTGCTGCCTAAATCCTCTATTTTAGTTACTGTATTTTAATGGACTTCGAAGCGACAAGAAAACTCTACTCCGACGTCATCGAAAAGCCGGCCCTCACCGATAAGCTACTCTCCCGGCCTCCCTTCAAATTTCTACTCGATATTTTCACAAATTCGATTTCTGCAACAGGGTATTTAAGGGTAAGTAATTTTAAATAGAATTCTTATCATCGTTTTAGTAAACGTTGAATGCTTAAAAAAATAACGAGACAAATTGTATACGGCAATCAAATCAGTTTCTACTTTTTTTTCCAGTTTTGAGCTAAAACAACTGTAATTTTGTAGTTTTCACTTTCAAAATCGGCAAATTTCCTTATTTAGGACTCGTTCCCACCCTCATCACTCGACGAATCAAATTTTGGTGACAAAGATGGGAAAGTCGGGTTTTTGGAACGAATTATCGCAGCTGCGAATACCGATGGTTCCCTGAACGATGTGAAAGCCGGGAAAATCGTCGCCGGCAAGGAGCCGGAGTTGACTTTAAAGGTAGGTACTACCTGGTTATTGACAAAATATAGATAGATAAACAGTTCTAGTGCTATTTTAAGCCAAAATGCGTATTTTCAGCTCCTCCAAAAGTTCGCCCAAGAAGCCCGGCAACACCGCGACGGCTCCGCCGGCAGCAATAAGGAGAATAAGAAAAAGTCTTCTTCTAAGGTTTCTTATCCCTGAGATCTAGAAAATAATCACAATGTAATTTAGGAGAAGAAGGAATCCTCCAAATCATCTTCAAAATCAACAGAAAAATCATCAACAAAAGATGCGGAGAAGAAGAGTAAAACTCGGGTACGTTGGAGCTTGCGAGGAGTATGTAATTCAAAATTGAGTTGGAGCTAGATAAATATGCTTGAAATGAGCTAGATATTTGTAATTAGGCAAAATTAAGCTTTACAGCCAGATTATCGTCAAAAATTGTCTGGTAATTGATTTGCTTTGTGGAGTTTTGCGATGTATTTATTTCAAAAAGTGGGCCTAAAAGTAATAGGCCAATAAATATCAATTTTTTTGAAGAAACCGAATAGTCGAAAAACAATGTCATGTATTTTCAGGACAAATCAAAAGAGCCCGAACCTAAAGAAAAGGAGAAAGACAAAACGAGAAGCAAGTCCAAGCAGCGGGACTCGAAATCAAAGACGAAAGAAGCGGATACCAAGGTGAAAAACCCCTAGAATTTTTGTCATGCCATTACTTTTAGCCCGACAAAGAACGCTCGAAAAGCAAGGAAAAGTCATCAACGAAGGATAAGGAAAAAAAGGTTAGATTTTTTTAAAATAACAGTACGGTGATCCCTCCAGAGCTCAAAATCCGACAAGGAAAAGAAGGAGAAGAGCGCAAAGAAGCCGAAAATTGAGGAGCAGGTAAGCTAATTCTGATAGAGCTTGTAAAATGTGGTATTTTTAGATGCCAGCGTCAAGAAGAGGTTCTGTAGCCCGGGTACCAGAGCCAGGACCGGCTTTCGAGCACGTCGAACAGGAAACGCACTTGGATAGTCATGGTAAAGAGACGGAACTATTTTTAGTTATTACCGTAGAAAGTTACGCAAAAATTAATGCAACAAAAAGCGATATAGCCACTATTTTAGACGAAGAACAATCAGCAACGGCAAAAACAGAGGATAGCGGATTCGGCACGGAAATGGATCGCACGATCAGCCCCAGGCCGCCACCCCCGGAACTGAGAGAGCAAACGAGGTAGGAATTGCACAAAATTGACATAAAACTAATTGCTTAGAATTGGAACGAGTATGGGTCGGCCTCAAACATCAATGGGACGGCCTGGAACTGCCGCTGCGAGAGCTGCACCTCCAAAACTGAAGAAGAAGCAGATTCTGGAAATTGAGGAGAAGCCGCAGGTTAGAAACTCAATGCAAGAATTATTGAAAATGGCCCCAGAGAGTATCTAAAAACTCATAAAATAGTTTAAGGCATACCTAATAACTAAAAAATAAGCTGAAATCTCTCGAATTCACCCTCATCGACGCTAAACGAAGAAGGTTCGATATATTTTTAGGTTGTCGAGCCTAAAACCGAAATCTTCACTGAAACACCAGCTGCGAACCAAGTGGAAGAGGACTTTTTGGTGGAAGAAGAAGAAGCTAGACAGGAAGTGGCAAAAGAGGAGTTTGACGTAAGAAACTTTTTAAAAGAACCAAAATGAAGATTGTAGGTTATATTCTAAAAAACATTATTTTAGCCTAACGCTGAACATGGAGGCCTTGTAACCCGAATTATGGAAACGCGAGAGCAATTGGATGATGGTCAAGGGAGAATGGAGCACGACGACATAGATGACGGGGAGATGGCAAGGCAGAGGAGTCATGTACGTTTGGAATCAAGTATTGCTTAATTTACTATGAAGAAGACCCTAACCATACGTTTTTAGGTCGAAAACCTCCAGAAAAATCTCCAAAGAGTCACGCAGACAGCCTTTCCGCTGGCAAAACTGTTCGATTTTGCACAGGTAAGGAGAACGATGTAGTAATAGCGGTACTTGCATTGAAAAACCCAAAGGTTTTACTCTAACTGCTCTAACTAATCAGCTCCCTTTGAAAATAGACGTTAAGCAAAGCTTTTGAAGCAACATTGGAATTCA